TGATCACCTTTTTTTGTATTGAGCTAGGTATATATTTAAAAATATCGGCATATACCCTGCGAAATAAGTACAACATGACCTAACAACACGCTTTTTGAATTATAATCGAATATGGAATAAGTAATAACACAGCCATTAACGTCCGATATTTGAGGACGATTAAGACACTGTAAAATAATATTTTACTAAAATGATTTACTTTCTACATTCATCGGCTTTACTGGCAAAAGGATAACCTAATCTGACCGTTCCACAGTTGATAAAATGGGCATCGCCTTTTTCGACAAAAATCGTACCCATTCTCTTTTCGGCCTATTCGATTTCGTGGCCAAATTAAAAAGTTCAATAATAATTAATATTATATTATTATATATTTTAGATATTTATTATACCCAATAGAAGTATAAAAAAATATATTAATAAATAATAATAATTATAACAGGTAATGTGAAATTGTTGTCAATAATTATTTAACATAATAGTAATATGTGTATAATTATATATTAAAATAATATATAATTTTTGTAAAATTATTGCAAATATAATTTTGAAAATTATTAAAAGTTTAAGTTATAATTTTTCAATAAGTAGTTAAATATATATATTTTTTTTTTTTTTTGGTGGTGGGAGGGTATTGTAGGTTTTGAACGAATTGCGTCCGTCACGCAATTCATGTTATCTTTTCATCTATAGTTGAGTGGTTCCTATTTTCCTAAAGTGATATTGAAATAATAAAGATCAGGTTATATAAAAAATTGAAACTGTAAAAACATAATATCATAATAAAATCGTTATTTTCACATACCTATTTAAAAAAAAATGTTTAATTGTAAAAATGTAATTTCATAGGTAGTATAAATCATAAAGTCATAAACACATATTATTTTAATTTTTTCTGTAGGTATTTATATTTATAACCGTAGTGTTGTACATGCTATGTACGATGTTATCTTATATATGTATACTGTATAGATAGTGTCTTGCATGTAATCCATAGTTACATATTGATCGGAAAGAACATAATATTTTTTTAAAATACCTATAAAAGTACAAACCATTAAAAGCTAGTTTTCATATAATAATATTATGTTTATAATAAATATTTAATTTATTATTATTTTTGTTAATTAATTTGAAATTTATTATATTTACCTATTATAGGTCAATTTTTTTTTTTAATACCATAGATAAGTTTATAATATGTCTTAAACCAAGACTGACATACCGTCTCCGCTCAGAATCGTTTTTCTTATACAATGATATTAAATCATTGAATTCAAATTTAATACCATCCATTATATAGTGACCCACTTGTAACCTACTGTACAGCAGAGCACCTTTTTTTTTGGGGGGGGGGGGGGGGTTGAGGCTTCGAGAACTGAGGTCATTAGAGTGAAACTGTGGCGGAGGGTACTGTATGTTTTGAACACGTGTGTGTTTGTTTGGGCGAAATTTTTCAGTGGGACTATTTATTTATTTATTTTTATTTGATTAAGGCTTCAATAGTTCAATTACAATGCTTATTACTTATTAGCCTAAGACAATATTATTATATTAATTAATTACAACAATTTTATATTGTTATAATTATTATTATTTATATTTAATTTATATATTTTTTTATACAACTTAGGAATGATAAATTTTTAATAATTGTCTTCCCTTCCTATACAACGTATTTACTCATGAGTCATGACATACCTAAAACATCATTTACCGAACTCTGTACCTACGCTGATGATACTGCAATTGTGGCTTCTCATGAAATCCTGCTACAGCTTCCAAAATGATTCAAAGATACCTTAATATAATCCATCAATGGACAAAGCGATGGAAAATCAAAATAAATGAATCTAAGTCCTCTTTCATTACATTTACGCTAAAAAGAGAAACATGCCCACAAGTTACAATTAACAATATTTCAATCCCTGTTTGCTCCGAGGTAAAATACTTAGTCCTTATATTAGATAGTAAACTAACTTGGAATTCCCATATTAAAAACAAACGTAAAGCCCTAAACGCCCGTCTTCATTTATTAAGGCCTCTCCTGCGATCTAAAATGAACATAAATAACAAATTATTAATTAATAAGTCTCTACTTAAACCACTATGGACCTACGGTATCCAGTTATGGGGAACCGCAAAACCCTCCAACACCAAAAAAATTCAAGCCTTTCAATCCATCTGCCTCCGCCTACTTTCCTCTGCACCCTGGTACATAACGAACAATAATCTTCACAAAGATCTTAAAGTACAAACTTTAAATCAAATTGCCAAAACACACTATGCTAGATTCCACAATAAACTCCAGTCACATACAAACCCCTTGATTATTAAACTATCAACAAAAACTCTACCTGATAACCCTCCACGTAGGTTAAAAAGAAAATGGTGCAGGGACCTTTTGTCCTGAAAAAAAAAAAAAAACCCATAATAACAGACAGTAAATAAATTATCACGTGCTGGGTGTTACCACTGGGCAATTCCCCAAAATCATAATATTCATTGTTGTTTGTTTTGTATTATTTTATCTCATCTAATTAATGTGCATATTTATTGTATAGATTGTAGATTCTTTTTACTCAATAAAAAAAAAAAAAATAAATCATTTTCTAAAAGTATAGCAGAAAGACCTAAAGTAATATAATATTATTAATTGTTATTGAACTTTTTGTTTTGGTCGAAAGTGTAACGGCATACCTACTCTTTTAAACGAATTGGTTCTTTTTTACGTAATACGCATTTAGGTACACGAGCATAAACCAGGAGGCAGGAATGTGCATACATAATGAGAAAGATAAAAATGTTTAAAAGGAAAGGTAAAAATAGGACTCTGGTATAGGTATCGTATAGCCACAACTTATAGAAAACATGGTTAAAGATATACGTATGGGCCCAGAATAGATTAATTTATTATACAATAGTTGTGATAAGATAACTATAAGCGAGGTCAAAAATATTTTTTATTAAATTGATATTATAAACGAAATAATTATTTTACATTGAATTCAAAAATGTATAAAATATTATTTGTTTTGGGGGGTTAAGTTGCTCTTGTGTTATCACGAGGCGCTATCGCCCACTTTGAAAACTGATCAGTCGGTGTCCATATTTTAGATTCTGAGCGGAGAAATAAATGTATTAATTTTACCATGATAGAAATAACTAATAAGTTATTTCTATCATGAATTTTACAATGTGTTTTATTATTTTTATTTTTTTGAGTCCGAAGACTTCAATAAAATGCTTCTATCATCAACTTCAATGTATTTTTTTTTTAAATTTAAAAACGAGGAGCTTAGGACAAAATCGATTTTGTTGTCATTGTAACAGTGGCGGTTCTAGCGTATGGGCAGGGTGAGCAGCTGCCCATACAAAAATTTCTGGTCCCCCTTATTGGTTAAGGGGGAGGAAATGAGGAATATTATTCACAGTTCAAACCTTATTGTAAATCTACTGTTGCCCATACAAAAATGTAGTCCTAGAACCTCGCCTGCATTATAAATCAATAACAAAAAACTGTAGGTATATATAGATACTTTAAATTATCACCAAATATAAGCATTATATTTTTTATAGACATTTGAAGTTCAAATTTAGACGAAATTTGATATTTAAACCATGGCTTAAATATACTAGGTTATTTCAATACCCACTACATCAGTTTATCACGTTAATGAATTTAAATGGCAGCGTTAGGAGACGACCTATACAATGATATAATATACTAAGAAATGGACCGTACTCTCATCCCTGGTAAAATATCACTACAAATATTTAACACCACTATGGAAATTTACCTCTGGTAAAGTTTCACTAGTGAATATTTGGACAAGTAGACTTTTATTGGGTGGTAAAATATAACTGTGTCAAAATACATGGTTCCATCGGCCCTGTTAGAGAGTATGTTTGAACTTTTACAGTTGAGCCTAACACAAAAACAATATACATAGTGCATTAATATCAAAATTCACCAAAAATAATTAGCTAACAGTAATACAGACAATAAAACAAGTTTGAAAAAACTATATAAAAAACTAATGTTAAAAGCATTTTTATTAAAAACCAAGTCAATTCTGGTGTGAATAGACTAGTATACACTATAAAAACAAGTATCCAAACACAATCTACAAATATATTAATGTTAAAAATAATTTCTATTAATTTCATTTAATTGCTTCAATTGTTTCCAATACAATTTTAACTAGGGTAATTGAAACTTATTTCATTAATTAATAATTATTATATAATAGGTACCTAAAGTAAAGACATTAGAATTTTACTAAAAATATTTTAAAGTTTTAAACAATTTAACATATTGATGAGAGTATGAAGTTTCAAACATTGAATTTTAATCTATATTATAGAATGCTTATAATACTATTGAAATAATTATCAAATATTAGAATAATACATTTTTTAAATTTTTTTTTTTTATTTGTCTCCAAATAAACTTAACTTTATTATAAATTATTATACTAGGGTAAATAAATTAGTGGTTCAGTATCATAACTCATAAGTAATAAGTGAGAATATTTTACTGTCATCAAGCATTAGTATTTTTCAGTATTGTCTACTTTTTAAACAATTACCGAACTACTTAACTTTTCTATTAAACATAATGTATTAATAGGAATTATAAATATAAAATAATAACAATGTCCAGACATTCTGTTTTAGAAAATAAAAATATGTAACCAATGCATTTAAAAACAAAAATTAATGATATAATTTAATATATTATTATACATATAACAATTAAGTGGACGAAAATTGAAAACATTATAATATATAGATTAGATTAAACAATATCTTAATACAAACAAAAGCGAAGAAAAATATCAAAATTGGAATAATACTTGATTTTAATTTAAAACGATAATAAAGCCTATCTGTCAACCTTTAACTAATTTCGGAATGTTAACACAATTATTTTTTTTTAATGATTTACTGAATAGTTTACCAATTTCTAAAATAAAAACAATCAATGAGTACAATAATTAATGTATCATAGTACCCAAATCTAAACAACCTTCTTCTTCCATTTTAGTTAAGAACTTAATCACTCGTACTTTTGGATCTGTTTGACGGGCCATATCAATCAAAGCCAATAACTTTTTTATACCAATGAAAACACTAAAACCACAAAACAATACCATTTGTTTAACAAGTCACTATAAGGTCATGATTCTTTAGAGGTAAAAAATAGTCTATTTAGTTCATTAACTCACTTGTGCCCAGATATTTGGTTGTAGATCTTGTGGATATCTTGTTTTGTAAACAAATCAAATTGTTCTAAGACCGTAATAAGTTCTTCAGGTTGACTAAGATTAGGGACATGAAGTACGGCAGTAAATGCAGACAACATTTCCATCTCTTCTAGTACTTGTTTACGACTGCTTGTACACAATACTAAAAGTTTTTTACCTTTAGGAGGTTGTTTTTTTAACAGAACCAATAGGGCTTGTAATGTTAGATTAGAATATCTTGGACCTATCGAACCATAATCCAATAAACGTTCAATATTATCAACTAAAATACAACTAAGTTGAGATCTGTAAGCATCATCAAATATCTGGAAAAAAAAATACAAAAATACTTAAATTCTAGTTAATATCTTTAAACACTCAATATCTCTTTACTTTTTAACTAATCTAAATCATGTTTATTGTAATGGAAGGAGACATAAAAATTTACATTATTAAGGAGCTTATACATTTTAAAGTTTCACCAAATTGTAGATTAATTTGAAATTCTCTATTGTATCCTAAATTAAACATAAATAACAATGGGTAAAAACGCTATGATTTTTTTGTGAAAATATTTATTTAGTATGATGTAGAATGAAAATAATTATAGTTAAAGTTTGGTTTATACTTATGTAATATATGCATTCAGTGTTCGGGACCACTGTTTGTATGTATGCATGTATTAATGTATGTATGTATAATGTATGTATGTTATGACTAGGGCTAGAATTTATATGTATTTATACAACAAAAATATGTGCTAAAGAATTCAAAATATGTATTATCAAAAAAAAAAATAATAATCAATTGCTAATGATTTTTTACAAGCAGTAGGTACAATACAAAATGTGACCGTCACTTTGTAAATGTTCATTTGGATATTCAGAAATATATTTTATTGCTTTGCAAGTTTTAGACGATCGTACTTTTGGCATTACCTAATGGTAATATACATGTAAAACATAACGAAAAACGAGGCTACGAAACACACACTACAATGTCACATTAAAAACTACACACTCATCACAGTGTTCGCTCGTTTGTGTTTAAAAATGTGTTAATCGTAATACATTAAGATAAGATATCTGATATTTCAATCGATAAAATTGTATTTAGAAATAATTGAAATTATAACAGGTACAAAATAAATATATGAAAACAATTTCTGCAAGGTCACAGTTTATATACTCCTCTATAAGTTCGATAATTTGCTTTAATATGAAACATGTGTCAAGAAAGGCATATGACCTCTAAAGTATAAATGTGATTTATATTATTATCTATGACTACCCTGCCTTTAATATCTGCTCACGCTGAAGGATGACATTATAAGACAATTATGTACATTTTTATGCCCTTTCTTTCATACAAAAATCAAATTTAGATAAATTTTAAATTTGAAGTGAATTTGAGTGTTTTCAGTTATTTTATATTAGGATATTTTTTAGGAATGTACTTTTCTGATTTGTAAGCATTTGGCTGTTTCAGTGAAGCCAACCATGTCTTCAGGTGAACACACTTTGACAAAAGGAAAATCTGAATCTTTTGCCAACTTTGCAGCTAGAGCAGTTTTTCCTGAATTTGGAGGTCCTTCAATAAGTACAGAGACGAGGCCAAATGTATCCGCCACACGAGCTTGCTGTGTAAGCAATGTTCCATCTTCTAAAATTCCACTGACTGATGAACCCCAAGTTATAATACCACGTGCTAAGAAGTGTTCCAAAGCCTCAGCACTAGCACCAAATGCAGGTTTTATATCATATTCCAAAGCATGTAAAAAATCATCCTTGCACACTTGAAGTTTTTCAGATGCATCAGGATCGACTTCTACCTTATTATTAGCTTTTATCAAACGATTCATGGCTGTTGATTGCGCAGCACGAACTAAACCTTCCAACTCAGCACCACTGAAGTTTTTAGTTCTTACTGAAAGCTCCTAAACATTTAAAACACATAGAATACATGTAGATTTGATAAACCTAAAACTAAATACCAATAATAGTATACACTATTTAGACAATTTACCTTCATGTCTACATCATCAGCAATTTTTTTAAATTCTTTCATACGAGTTGTATGAATATTCAAAATTTGATGACGTCCATGTTCATCAGGTAAACTTATTTCCATTTGTACCTACATTCAAGCAATTATTGTAATCAATAATCATGACATTTTATATGTTAAATAAATTCATATGAAACATCTTACTTCAAGACGACCAGGTCTCAGTAACGCTTCATCAATCATGTCTCTTCTATTGGTCATACCTATAACTAAGATGTTATTTAGTTGCTCAACTCCATCAATTTTAGCTAACAACTGATTAACCACAGTGTCGTGCACTCCTGTATTCCCTCCAACAGAACCTCTTGCTTTACAAATAGCATCAATTTCATCAAATATGATTATATGCAAGCCACTAGACGAACCAGACTAAAATAAAAATATAAAATAAAAGCTAATTTTAATTAAATTAATAATCTGACATACTTTCTTTTCTTCTTCTTCAGCATCTGCGAATAATCTTCTTATGTTGGCTTCAGATTCACCAACATATTTGTCCAAAATTTGAGGGCCATTAACAATTTTGGGTTCACGTGCATTTAACATTTGTCCAATTTGTCTAGCCATTAATGTTTTACCAGTTCCAGGTGGACCAAATAGCAAAATACCTTTGACGTGTTTGCACCCTAAGTTAATGAAAAATATTTTTAGTTAATTTAAAAAGTAGGTATTTTCAATTTAAATTGATTTTACCAAGTTGTTCAATAATTTCTTGTGGAAATACTCTAGATGCAAATGCTCTTCTAAAAATAGCATTAAACTCTGTATCTAAACCACCAATTCCCATTTTGTTGAAGTCAAAATCTGGATTTATAATTGATACACGTGCTTGTTGGCTAAAAATATTTAACAACATTATATTTAAAAAGAAAGACAATTAAGTATTATTAAGAAAAACAATTTACCATTTTGACTTTCCTACCAACAACAATGTAGTATTAGAGCCAACTACAAACCGTACAGCGGTATTGCTCAAACATTTTCCATATTGAATTGACCGGGGTTTAGCTCCAGAATTAATTTCTTGAGAATTTACACCTAAAATTGTATAACATTGCATTTTTTATATCAGTGCAATTTATAACATTCAAATATTTTTCTGCACTTTTTCAATTGCAATATTATATTAACTTTGTTAGCATTGTTTTTTTTAATTTAAATAAATATATTATTTTAAAACTATAAAAAAGAAACTTTTAGATTATTTTTTTTTAATCTTAGAAGTTTAGCAAATAACATAATAAATCTATATTGTACATTTGTATGTGTTACTGTTTTTTAAAGTTAATTAACTAGTTTAAGATGACAAAGTTAAGAGGATCTCATTTATTAATATAAAAACCTACAATGTACATATCAAAACTTATCCAACTTCAATCTCCAATTTCATAAATTATAAATACAAATCATTTACCTTCAATGCTTTTGATCTTAATAGCCATCAATGGCTTTTCTGGCAACTGAAATAATAATGTTTGACTGACAGACAAAACGTGATTTGTAAAGTTTACTAAAAACTCTCTAGCCATCATGTCTGTATCAAATTGTTCATTAGCACTTTTTGTCCTAAGAAAATATATATTCTATATCATGAACATTTTTTTTTTGTTTATTATACCTAAATACAAAATAATGCACTTACTTATTTTTTTGAAAATAATCAATTTCAGCTTCAACTGAACACAAAAAATCAATTGCTGTATTTCCCGGATAAGAAGTAATACTGATTGGCTGGTTGATGGAGAGTTGGGCCCATTCCCGTTGATTCACAGAAAAAGCTATGCATCCTCGCGGAGGTGGATTTTTCACAAACAATGTCGTGAACCAAAACTTAAGATCTGGTTTGATTTGATGTTGGACCTCAATGTATCTAAACATATTTTAAATTTAGTATACTTAAACAATCACTTTTATAGAATTATCTTATACATACTTTGTATCGCTTCGAAAGTCTTCATCGTTAACCACTGCACAATTTGTAAGAGCCCAATCATCTGCCAAACATTTGATTGCCTTGAATACCTATGAAACAACGTCAAAACCGTTAATGCTTTTTTGGCTTGTATGTAGTTAGTGATTGTTACTCAAAACGGTCAAAACCAATGACTTACCACCATTTTCCTGCGGTGAGTGAGTAAGTAAACTATTCGACAAATACAATTACATTAGGAGGACACCACTACTGGATGATTTGAATATTTCCTTTCGACAACATACGAATATAAAATATATAATAATATAGTGAATACTGAAATCTTCTTATACTGTAAAATGTCAATTGTCATAAACACCAACACTCTGCTATCAAGTAAGTATCAACGTTGTTATCAATGAACGTTTTAAAATCAATAATGGAAGGGTAAAATGCGCATGCCTCGTGACACAGTTATGGAAGGCGTTTGTATAATAATATATTGAGTTAGGTACTGAGTTCTGACTATTAGGCCGAGTACGGAGACTGGGAGTCTGGAACAGTATCTTACGATTTTAATATATAATTTATAAAATAATTCTTATAAATTATTTATATTTAGTCAATCCCCGGTATAATACTAAAAGGGATTTTTTTTTCCAACTATCAGCAGTGCAATACTGCAATATTGCAATAAATATGTTAGGGGTGCCGGATGTGTCTGGGCACCTCCGACCTTTTGTAATTTGGACCCTAAAATTAGAGTCCAGAGCATAGGGCCCATATCTTACTTGATGTTACCAGAATAAAATGCAATTTTTTCTAAAGTAGGTATGCGGTAAAAAAATAAATTATGTTTCGTGATAAAAAAAAATAATAAAACATAAAATAGGTATTTTTAATTTTCTGGAATTTTTTTGGAATGTTTTATTATGATTATAACAGCTATCTGTGCGATTTACTACAGTCTAGAAATTTTCAGTTACCAATTTGTTAGTTTTAGATTCTGAGTGAAACGATGAATGTATTGATTTTACAATGATGTGTGTTTTTATATTTTTTATTTTTTTATTTTTTTATTTTTGTGTCTGTGTACACGATAAGTAGTCGAAATAATGCTTCGATTTTCGACTTCAGTATCTTGTTCGATTGGAAAGTGAATATCGTTGGTGCATTGGGGAGGTCAAAATTTAAAATTCCCAGTACTTTTCAAAAGCGAAAAGAAAAACAAAAGAAAAATTAAGGAAAAACTGGAATTTTTACGCAAAATCGATTTTTCAGAAAATTGAATTTGGTTTTTGATGTAACTTTAAAACAAATGACCGTAGATTCATGAAATTTTCACCGGTCTAAGATTTGAAAATGTAATACAAGATTACTCATAATACCTTTATCAATAAAAAAATCTCTACCGGACAGTCAAATTAAATTTTTATGAGCGTTTATTGTTTAAAATTCAAATTTTTACAACATTCACTCGATTTCTCATGTAGCGATTTCCTTATTTTGTTGTAATTCATAAACGAATAACTGTAGATAAATGAAAATTTCACTGAAAGTTTATATTAGCATTTCCTATACACCATACAATTTTGAAAATATTTTGACTCTTTTTGAGCTGTTTACGGATATTTTCATTCTTCAATTTTTTTAGTTTTTAGATTCTGAGTGAAACGATGAATGTATTGATTTTACAATGATGTGTGTTTTTTAGATTCTGAGTGAAACGATGAATGTATTGATTTTACAATGATGTGTGTTTTTTTTTTTATTTTATTTTTTATTTTATTTTTTATTTTATTTTTTATTTTTTTTGTGTCTGTGTACACGATAAGTAGTCGAAATAATGCTTCGATTTTCGACTTCAGTATCTTGTTCGATTGGAAAGTGAATATCGTTGGTGCATTGGGGAGGTCAAAATTTAAATTTCCCAGTAGTTTTCAAGAGCGCCGGGAAAAACAAAAGAAAAATTAAGGAAAAACGGGAATTTTTACGCAAAATCGATTTTTCAGAAAATTGAATTTGGTTTTTGGTGTAACTTTAAAACAAATGACCGTAGGTACATGCAATTTTCACTGGTTGTTTATATTTGCATCTTCTATACACGATAACATTTTCAAAATATTTTGATTTATTTTGAACAGTTTAGGGACATTTTCATTTTTAGTTTTTTTTTAGTTTTTTTTCTAGAAATATCAATAAAATTTTATTTGTTGGTTGCGAAAGCTTGAAAATTTAATAGAAGGCTCCTAATATATTGTTTCAAGGGCAGATGAAAAATATTAAAAATCCTTAGTCACAATTTTTTTTATAAGCATTTAAAGTTCAAAAATTGACAAAATATGGAAAAATCACGAAAATTAGCAAATTATTTTGAGTTAAGAATTCGTAAAAATTTTTCTTTTTAAATCTAAGATTTGAAAATCTAATACAAGATTACTCATAAGATTGTCTACCTTTATCAATAAAAAAATCTCTACCGGAAAGTCAAATTAAATTTTTATGAGCGTTTGAAATTCAAATTTTTACAACATTGGATATTCACTCGATTTCTCATGTGGCAATTTCCTTTTTTTGTTGTAATTAAAAAACGAATTACTGTAGATACATGAAAATTTCACTGAATGTTTATATTAGCATTTCCTATACACCATACAATTTTGAAAATATTTTGACTCTTTTTGAGCCGTTTACGGACATTTTCAGTTTTCAATTTTTTTAGTTTTTTTTTTCTATAAATATTAATTAAGTTTTATCTGTTGGGCCAAAAAGTGTAAAAATTTAATACAAGGCTCCTGATATATTGTTACAATATCAGTTGAAAAATATTAAAAATACATAGGCACAATTTTTTTTTATAAGCATTTTAACATCGAATTTTGACAGAATTTTTCAAAATCTCGAAAATTATTAATCATCGTAATTAATAAATTATAAAATGTTCAGTTTTTATAGCTAAGGATTGAAAATTTAAAACAAGATTTCACGTAAGTAGTTAATTCTCTTACCGAAAAATCTAAAAAATATACAATCACAGTTTATTTTTATAGTCATTTTATGTTCAAATTTTGACGAAATTACATATTAAAAAACCTAGTTATTTTGTTGTGATTATATAATATTATTCGTGGGTACCTACTTGAAACTTCTAAAGTGTACTATTATATATATATGATAGTATCAGGGTTTGTTGTTGGTGTATAACGTGTTATTAGTACCTAATGGATATTGTGATAATGTGATATGATTAATTTGGAATTTATTATAGGTCAATTTTTTTTTAATACCATAGATATGTATATAATTTGTCTTAACCTAGACTGACATACCGTCTTCGCTCAGAATCGTTTTTCTTATACAATGATATTGTATCATTGAATTCAAATTTAATAGCATCAATTATACAGTGACCCACTTGTAACCTACTGTACAGCAGAGCGACATCCACTTACCCACCTTTTTAGATTCTGAGTGAAACGATGAATGTATTGATTTTACAATGATGTGTGTTTTTTTATTTTTTTTTTTTTTTTTTTATTTTTTTTTTTATTTTTGTGTCTGTCATCACGTTTTAGGACAGTAAAAGTGCTTGGATTTTCTTCATCAGTAGCTTTTCTGATAGGAAAGTGAATCTAGTTGGTACTTTGGGGGGTCAAAAGTATAAATTTCCCAGTAGTTTTCACAAGCGCCGGGAAAAACAACATAAAAATTAAGGAAAAACGGGAATTTTTACGCAAAATCGATTTTCCAAAAAATCGAATTTGGTTATTGGTGTAACTTTAAAACAAATGACCGTAGATACATGAAATTTTCACTGGTTGTTTATATTTGCATTTTCTATACACGATAACATTTTCAAAATATTTTGATTTATTTTGAACTGTTTAGGGACATTTTCATTTTTCATTTTATTTTAGTTTTTTTTCTAGAAATATCAATAAAATTTTATTTGTTGGTTGCGAAAGCTTGAAAATTTAATAGAAGGCTCCTAATATGTTGTTTCAAAGGCAGATGAAAAATATTAAAAATCCTTAGTCACAATTTTTTTTTATAAGCATTTAAAGTTCAAAAATTGACAAAATATGGAAAAATCACGAAAATTAGCAAATTATTTTGAGTTAAGAATTCGTAAAAATTTTTCTTTTTAAATCTAAGATTTGAAAATGAAACACAAGATTCCTTATAAGATTATCTACCTTTATCAATAAAAAAATCTCTACCGGAAAGTCAAATTAAATTTTTATGAGCGTTTGAAATTCAAATTTTTACAACATTGGATTTTCACTCGATTTCTCATGTAGCGATTTCCTTATTTTGTTGTAATTCAAAAACGAATAACTGTAGATACATGAAAATTTCACTGAATGTTTATATTAGCATTTCATATACACCATACAATTTTGAAAATATTTTGACTCTTTTTGAGCTGTTTATGGACATTTACAGCTTTCAATTTTTTTTAGTTTTTTTTCCTATAAATATCAATAAAGTTTTATCTGTTGGGCCAAAAAGTGTAAAAATTTAATACAAGGCTCCTGATATATTGTTACAATATCAGTTGAAAAATATTAAAAATACATAGGCACGATTTTTTTTTATAAGCATTTAAAGTTGGAATTTTGACAAAATTTATCAAAATCTCGAAAATTATCAATCGTTGGAATTAAAAAATTATAAAATGTTCAGTTTTTATAACTAAGAGTTGAAAATTTAAAACAAAGATTCTCTTAAATAATTCATACTGTAACCAAAAAATCTAAAAAATATATAAACACACTTATTTTTTACAGACATTTTAATTTCAAATTTAGACAAAATTTCATATTTAAACCAAGAATTACGATTTTAGTTAATTTGTTGTGATTGAATAATACTATTCGTGGGTACTTGAAACTTCTAAAGTGTACTATTATATATCTATGATAGTATCACGGTTTTTGTTGATGTATAACGCGTTATAAGTATCTAATGGATATTGTGATATGATTAATTTGGAATTTATTATAGGTACCTATTATAGGTCAATTTTTTGTTTAATACCATAGATATGTATATAATTTGTCTTAACCTAGACTGACATACCGTCTTCGCTCAGAATCGTTTTTCTTATACAATGATATTGTATCATTGAATTCAAATTTAATAGCATCAATTATACAGTGACCCACTTGTAACCTACTGTACAGCAGAGCGACATCCACTTAC